CTGCATCCCCGCGGTACAGCCGGGGCCCTGCCAGGAGCTGAGGTACCCGCACCGCCAGCCGCGGCCCGGCCTTGCCTCCGCCCCGGCTACCTACCCGGTTATACAGCCTCTGCTGCGAATGATTTCACTGCGGAACGTTCTGACATGCAAATGATAGCAATTAATGCCTTCAAAACAATTTATGATTTCCGGCCTACTTCAACATGTATTAGCATATACCTGGTTTCTTTCATATATACTTTGTTTTTCCAAAACCACAAACATAGTTGCTGGAATTTCATGTGGAAGTGCTTAAGGGGTTGAAAGTTAACACCTTTGTGAGCCGAGCAGTCTCACAGTTGCTGCTAAACAAAAGCCTCTTTGTAGAAGCTTTCTCGAAATGTTTTCTTAACATGTTCCAAGTAGTTTTAGGCAGGCAACTAAAGTAAACAAGATGTTACCATGATAAAAACACTTGTGAAAACATTACAGAGTGCACTTGGTAGTTTCTTTCACATAAACTCCCCTTCGTTTCATCAAAGTTACATTCACAGGAAGCAGATCACTAGCATCGCTGCAATACAGGATTGCAGGATCCCTCCGAAGGTCTGAGTCCCTCTCTTAAAGAATATATTTGATCTTAAAACGGTACAGCTGGGATTAAGCACACCTAAACCACAATTAAATCTGAAAAAGAGATGGGGAAGGGGGAATAAAACCCTCCTCAGCCTTCATTTTTTTTGCCCTGGATGCCTCGCTGAATAAACCGCCCACCCTCACGCTGGGATTTCCTGAACAACTTGCTGTACAGGGCTACATATTTCTATCTGCAACGGTCTTTAAACACATGCAAATGAAATCAAGGAGATAGTCAATTTTGCAGGAAAGTCGCTCCGTGCTACTAATTGCTCCTCTCGCTGTCGCCCGCGAGACGGGCCCTGGTTAACACGCGAGACACGTGTGCATCCTCCAGCCCGCACCTTGCTTCCCGCGGCTCGGCAGAAGGCCATCAGGTCACCGCGGCGAGACCGGACTTGGGTTTGTTTTTAGGCTCGGGGAGTATTCGGGAGCACGCGGGGCGCTACTGTTTCATTAGGCTTAGCAGCAGCCCCTGCTGCTATCCGTCAGCTCTCACCGATAGCGCATCACATGATAACCCATGGCCGATGGATTAAAAAAAAAAAAGGAAAAACAACGCTAAAACGGCAACTTATTTCAAAAAGAAATAGGGAAATAAATGCGTACAATAGCCTGTGTATCTGCTGGTTCTGATAAGCATCCTCCTGTTGGCTGTGAGTGAAAGACAACTAGGATCGTTATTTGTACAGTATTTATCTTTGAAATCAAGGGCCCTGTGGTGTACCTCACCTTGGGAACAAACACTACAGAACGATCACAGAAGAGTGTCAAATCTCTGGTTTTGATTTACCAACAGTTATGATATTTCTTCCTCAGGAGGAAAAGAAATGAACCATGTTTTAGACCTGCGAGTCCTTTTTTCTCCCTTAACTGTAGCAGCACTTTATTGGCATAGAGGGCTTTCATTCCGCATGTAACTTCTCTTTGCTTTTTCTAACGGGCCTTTTTACTGAGGTAAGTGAAATTAAGCAATGTTCAATTGATACAGGGGCTGAATTTCACTTGGTAAACAAGAGCTTTTTCTCTTGAGAGGACTGTCGAAAGAGCTTCACGGATTACAGAAGTAGCAGAAAGAAACTTCAAGCATCTACCTGTTATCTTTTCATTGAGTAATGAATTCTGATAAATGGCAATGTAATTTAAGGACGGATGCTCCACGGGAGACTGGGAAGGCTACGGACTCATTTTATGAAGCAACCCTCACTTCCTAACAGTGTCAATACGCTGCTTGGCGACGTTCATTTCGGCATTCGTTCTGGGTTAAATATCACACCGAACAATAAGACTTTGTCTGGACACTGCAGAATTTGGATAATGAAAAAATCTACGTGAGCCGATGGGTTTGAGAAAGACACACAGAATATTTCTGTTGAAAGGTTTCAGTGGGGAAAACAAAACCCCAAGATTAACAGTAAGTGAGTGATAAAAGAACCAGATTTGTAGGAGCTGGGAGTAGATGGAGTCACTTTGGGTTCAGCCTGGGCTGGCCACAGTTCTCAGGTTATTCCTACCTATTGACTGCCCTAGGTATCTACTCCAGGTAAACTGGTGGACTTGGTCTACTTACTGAAACACCTCCAAAACATCACATAAAACCCAAACTTCCCTCTACCCATGCCACATGACTTAAGGGCTGTATTTTCTACGCGTGGTCACGTCATGCGGTCCACTGCTCTGTAAGAAATCTCCCCGAAACCAACATACCCGACCTGCAACAGGGGACTAGCCCAAGAAGCAAAAGTGGTATAACCTGACCTGATGTGGTCATTCCACATTAATCCAATATACACGTTATTCATACACGTTATTCCAATAGCTAAGGCTACCGCAGCACCTTTCCCGTGCATAAGTGCAATAAAAATTAGAATTGTTTTAAAGGTCTAAACGCTATAGCACGGTGTATGAATATGAATGAGCTGGCAAGGATGGTGAGATTAGCATTTATTTCACTTAAGTGAACAACAGGATGAATTAAAAGAAATGAGGCCACCCTTCATGGAAATTTATGACTAGCACCTTCTTATTTTGTAATCCTCTTGTAATGAGAACCTCCTCATTACTGTGCCGTTCCTTACTTGTAACATATGTTTGTACTAGGACCAGCGCTGCGCCTGCTGAATTCAGGAGGGTTATGCCAGTGGAAGCAGAACTGGCCCATTCTGTTTTGAGAGCAAAAACCTATCATCTAACATCATCCAACAAACATCCTGTGCTTTGCTGTCACCCTTCCCTCCCTCACATAAAATCCAGGGAACTGCCCCAGAAAGAACAGATACAGCTGGGCGTTCTGGGACTAATTCTACTTATCCATCCTGATGAATCCCATGTATTTATGTGGACTAACTTCATGAGATCACCACTGTAAATGGGAGCAGAATTTGTCCCTTTGTGCATTTAAATCATAAGGATTGCTTGGAAGGTTGCTCTTTTGTGATCCTACAAGCGAACAGGCACAGCACTTGAGAAAAGATCAATGCCTGACTCTTCCAGAACCTGGATGCACCCGAAGCAGATGCATACCTGGTGATCTACCCAGACAGAAAACTCCTTTTCTGATGGGAACGCTTTCTGCTCCGGTTTGGAGGGGTCAGGCTGATGGTTTAGCTGTGGAGCAGCCATGTGTAAGTTATTAGAGCTCTGCCGGTCCTTCCCTGCATCGGGATGCACGCATTACCACACGCTAGTCCATAATGCACTGTTTATGCAACGCGCAAGAACTGTGTTCTTTGGCAGCAAGGAAAGGTCTGCAGCAAACTGCAGGGGCCCAATTAATATAATTATAGCTTATTTTTAGTAGTGTAGACTTTGTTCATTAGTTACTTATTTGACATAAATTAAATTTCACGTGATGTTCTGCAATTCTCTGTTCAATTACGGAGTTAATTTAAGACTAGATTTCTAAATTAAAGTGAAATCAAGGTTAAATCACGGTTGTATTCTTATACATTATCCATACCTGCAACTTAAAAATTATTTAAAGAAAGAAAGAAAAAAAAAAAAGGCTGCGGAACTGCAAACGCTATTCCATAGTAATACCCTGAGCAAGACCATACTTTCCCCACGGGGCTAATTTACTATCCCCTGTTAAAACGTTCTTGAGCCTGATCCAAAAGCCACTGAAGTGAAAGGGAGCTCTCTGTTGACTTCAATGGGCTTTGCATCAGGCCCACGGTGAGTGACAGCACACAAAATTTCAGGGCATGCTTTCTGTACAACGCAAGTGCCAAAAAAACCATCCTTACTTTAGGAACGACTGGAAGTCTTCACATACTGCTTCACAGCCCGGCCATTTGCATACGCCGTGTCCGTAGAGCGGGTGGCTGTGTGAGTGCTCCTCGTGGGATAAACTGGAGGGGAGAGAGAGAAAAGAGAAAAAGTGGCGTAACTGAAGGCACCACGCCGATTAATCTTCATAAAGACTCTGAAGAGCAGCAAACAACAGATCCTGAAACATCCCTAACATCTCACGGTACCCACCTGACTCTGCCTGTGGTTTTTCAAAACAGAATTAAATACCGTTTGCAGTGCGAAACGTGTCATTCTTACTTAGCTATCCTCCTACATTTCATTCATTAATTAAAAGCTTTGTAAAGAATTTAAATTAACATGGACGGGGGAGAAATCATTTGACAGACCTGCTTAATATCCTGCTTGATATTTTGCTAAGAAATTTATGAACATTGCATATTTACAATTCAACTTCATCAGGAAGAAAAGTCATCTCCACACAGCAGTGTATTCTTGTAACACAATACAGCCAGACCCGAGGCTTTCCTTGTGGCTAGGGAGAGAGGAAAAGCATCCAGTTTGCAGCCTTGGCTTTCCCACCGCGTTATTTATTTAGTGGGCTTTCTTTTCACTTTTTTTGTTCCCCCTCCACCTTCACCCGCTGTTTCTTTGCACAAGTACAGCCACCTCATGTCCCACTAAAGAAGATTCACCGTGATTTTCAAATGCAAAATTCATCATAAGGAGCCATGTAATCAAAGGATTCCTTACGACGAGGTTAGCGGGGGCTATTAACCTTGCTAAGATTTAGCAGGAGTGTCACAGAGTTTTCTAACTACTGAAACCAGGGTTAAAGGAAAAATAAAAAATCGTGTGAGCACTAAGGGGTTAATCCTTCAGCGGGATTCCAATCAATACGTAATGATTTGGCTGCACTGATCCAAGTCATGAGACGCTTTGATCCAGGCCATGTGGTGCTCAGGGAAATGTATCTGTTGCACTAACTGATGAACCATATTCTAAAATATCTTCTTTATTCAACTTCTGCATGGAAAGTTCTTAAAGAATTATTTTTTTGCAACCATTTCCATAACCTTACATGGCTGTAAAAATAAAATGTCAAAATAATATTGAAATCTCTATTTATGCTCACACACAGATCTTATTTTTCACAGCAAATCTTTTTGCTACAGTATGCCTGTGCTGTATTATGAACTTCAAACATATACAAAGGATATGAGCACATACCAGCATCTAGGTGTGGCTTTTATGACTTACTTTATGCTGCATTATAGGTAACGTTATGGGTAAACACCTACTTTTTGCCATTTTACTTTTATTCACACGTGGAAGTGCTGCTTATTCTTGTCCTGTAATATTCTCTGCCCGCGGACTGTAACAAAACTGCGTTCCTGTGTTATTTCTGACGCACTGCTGAGACGTTACAGGCAAAAAAAGTTGCAAGAGAAATTCTTGCCTAGATTCTGCCACTTTTGACTTCAGGCCGAACAAGAATCTGAACATAATTGAAGGTGGATTTTTTAATTTCTTTTTTTAATTAAAAAAAGGCACAGATCTGACTGGAAAAGGTATTACAAGTTGTACCTTAACCTAGTTCATCTTTTCATTAATATCTTATTTTTGGCTGTTTACAAATAGTTCTTCAAACATAAGCACACATACGTGCACAGTTAATTTCCTACCAAAACCCCCGCTGTAGGTAAAGAGACTCAGAAAGGCCTTTTCCGTAAGGGAATATTGCACTGGTCTAACTTAATCAGGGTTTTTAAAACGTGCAAGTGAGGAAAAGCTCTATCAGGTAATTTTTTTAAAAGAACAAAGGGACCGATGCAATCCTTGCAGGGAAATTAGAAAAAATGCTATACCACACACTTCCTCAGCTAAAAAAGAGGGAGAACGGCTGAAGGAAGA